TATCGGCATTGGCTGTCAAAAAACCAGACTTCAAATCTGGGTACTGTCTTACGTTTTAAAATCACAAAGGGAGTTTGGTCCCATCAGGCTAACGTGACAGTCACGACTCATGCAGCTGTAAGGTTTTCTTTTTCTTTTGTTTTCACTCGCGATCTTTACATTACGTATTTCATGGCACACTCGTTTTATGCGTATTTGGCGCCACCTATTGTTGTGGGTGTATTATTGACATGTCAAAGTCTAGACCCTGAATATAAAACGACAGCGTTTTTTCAGATGTATTTCCAAGAAAAAAACATCGTCTTATATTCGGGTCAATACGGGTAATTTTTTTCCCAATATTTGGACCTCACAAATATAGCACAAGTCCACATAATACAGGAAAAAGCAGCACAATATGTACCTCTTTAGGATCTGAGTGATAATCCTCATTCTCTCTGTCTTTTCTTTATTCTGTCCCTTTTTTAAAGCGTGTTGTTCAGGCCCTGATTTGCAAATACCAGGAATTGCTGTAGTGTTTGTTGAGCTCCTATATTCCCGTCAGTCACAGAATATTGACTCTGAGAACTTTTAATAATCTGCTGTTTAATCCAAGTCCTAACCCAGTAAAATCTGATTTTTTTCCTGGAAACCTGCTCGACTGTACCACCTAAAGTCATTTAGTCACCGGAGTATATGTGTCTGTCCTATCCTTTGAAAATGACGGTCAGCGTTCAGTGTTTCTGTTAGACCAGCCACCAGTGTGTGGGTTCACAGGTGTGTAAGTGAGTGTGACAGAAGGAGGGTCGTTGCCACTAGATGCAGATGCTCAAAGAATCCTTTCTTCTGCTTTGAAGTCAGTTCAAATGCTCTTTAAAGTGTGTTTGAGAGAGTGGGTGCACATGCAGTCATGTGTGTGGGGTGGGCGGCACTTCTTTCACACACTGTTCTGTGTCATATAGACTATGACTTTAAGATATATTCTTTGTAAACAACTTTACATTATCTTGTGCAGTTTTGCTTATCTTGTTTTACTCAAAAACAGGACACAAATATTGATTAGGAAATCTTTTGTGATTTTTCTTTTTCTTTTGCAGAGGTTTTACTCAGGTTTTAGGGTCAAATAAAAGCATCTAATATTAAAAAAAAGGAAAATTATTTTTAAAATCTAGCTTAAAACAAGTCAAGTTTGTGGATGATTTCTTTGTTTTCAAGTTAGTTTCACATTGTTTTAAATAATGTTTATACCATTGTCAACTAAGTTTTTATTAAAAAATGTAATGATGAAAATGTCATGTGGTGTAACCATAAAGTACAAAATAATAACTTATAATACATTTTCCCCGACACCTTGAATTGAGTGTAAACATCTTAATCATAATTTACAAAAAAAGCAAAACGTTTTTGAGTGTATTTAGGTAAAGGTAAGTTGTTGTTGTTTTTTTTTTGTTTTTTTTTAACTACCATCATGACTTAATTATTCATAAATATTACATTTTGTGAGGGTCATACCACTTATTATTTTACAATCTAAACTAACCTTTCCTTGTCAAAAAGTCAAATTTTTTAGAAGATGTATTGACCTTGAAATAAAGCCATAAGGGTTTTTATTTTTTTAATAATTTTAACAGTGCTTATTGTTTTCTATGAATAATTAACTAGAATAATTAAGTCCTTCATGATTGAATGATGCTTTTTTTCAATTATGATTTAAGGAGAGATAAGAAATTAAAAACTTAAACGCATCACGGAATAGGTTATTAATTGCATTATTAATGCATTTTTGAAAATAAAATAAATAGATTTGGGTAAAACCTGAACATCATGTCTTTGAGCATCATATCATTGAGAAAAATGCAGAATATGACAATTAAAGAAAAACTCCAACTGTTATCCCATTTTAATTATTCACTGGTTTTCACATCAGAAAACACAATTTACTATAGTTCAAGTACGTTTAACCTCTGCCTTGGAAAACCAGCCGCTTGCTACATAGAAAGCATATGAAGTGATGGCATTGAGTGACTGTGCGAAGTTTTACTAAGAACCAGTCATATCTGACAGCCATAGAAATAAGTGATACTTTGCCTGGCCTGTTGATTGGAACGTCACAGTTCAGGACGTCATCATTAGAGCATCCCTTCATCTCACCTCTGCGTTCTCATCTGTCATCCGTCATATAAACTCAGGTTACCACCTCCAGCCAGACAGTGCAGAAGTACAGTAAGTATTGTGTGAGCTGGATGTCTACCCATGCAAACACTGCTGCTGCTGGTGTATTTGGTAGACATGCTAATCCACAGCTGTCTCAAGTATATTTATATCTCACTGTGTGGCTCAGAGTGTTATCGTGGGTCATATAATCACTGATCACCTGCTTACATCTGTGTCTTTGTTAATAGTTGTATTGGAGGTGTGTTCAGTGTATGTTTTGGTGCCCGTTAGGGGTGTAACGGTACACAAATATGACGGTTCGGTACGTACCTCGGTTTTAACGTCACGGTTCGGTGTAATTTCGGTACAGCAGGGGGAAAAACTTTTTTTTTTTAAATGGTTTACTGAACAAGTTGCTCTTTCTTTAAATACATTCAGTTATAGTTTAAATGTTCTTAGTGATAAAAATCTACCTCAGCTTATGCTTAAAACTATAGGGAGCCCTTTTACATTATAAGGTTACAATTAGGCCTAACAACTTAACCCAAACTTAAATTTGATTACTATTTATTTTTAAATAGATGATCAACACTCAACTTTAAAAAATAAAAAAATAAATAATTGTATGCAAACATGTAAACTGCACATAATGCAGTTTTTTTATTAATTTATAAATAATAAAATTTCTAAGCTATTTGTTAAAATGTATTCAATTACACAATGGCTGTCATAGCATGTTTCATAACAGATTAATTTAAACATACTGTACATTAAATAATTAAGACTAACAGGTTTAGTAAAATATAATGAGTATATGGTGTAATATTTAGCAAAATGCTCCTCTCTAGACTTCATTTCTCTAGTGAACTAACGAGCTGTGGACACTGATGACTTGCTGAGGTAAATTAAATGCTACGTGACATTTTATTTCCACGCTGTATTGTTGACGAATACGTGTACCGTTACACCCCTAGTGCCCGTAGTCACATTTTTTCCCCTTCTGGTGGCACGTACTTTGTTAAAAAAAAATTATACTTGTCTGAACTTGAAAAAAAGAACTCAAATCATTTTGAGCACAGCTCAAACACATTTACACATGCTCACGTCTTCATCTGACCACAAGACTCTATCTGTCTGTCTCGGGTTAATCTCTACAGACAAGCCTGTCTGAACTCTCTCTCTCTCTCACACACTCACACACACACACACACACACACACACACGCACGCAGGGAGAGTAAATAGATCCTCTATGCATTCAAAAAGCTCAGTGTCAGCATCTTCCCTGAAACATGTCATTCACAGAGAATTGTGGCTCGAAGGTTATTAAGTACAAGATGAATCGTTGTCACAGGGATTTGCACACACACAAACACGCACTAACTGGTGCGGGTCTGTAAGAAAGATGCAACGTTATTGGAGTTACATAAATGGATGGAGGTTTGTGAGGAATAGAGAGATGTTATGTAAAGAGCTGGGGAAGGACAAAGGTTAATATATAGATAAGAAGAGAGAGAGAGAATGGGATTATATAAGGGAATTAAGAAAGGAGAATTTATCAGTGGGTTATAGTGTTATATAAACAGGCACTAGAGTGACCAGAGCTGTCCTGACAATACCTCCCATCACGTAAATGAACACATAAAAATATATTAACAATACATACAAAAACATATTTAAATATTTATTGGTTTCTTGATGTATCACTATTAAGAGGATTAATTTAAAATGTACACTGCACTGTTGGCTCTATATTTAATTTATTATTTAATATATAATTAGTTTTTACTAAAACACACAAAAAACCATTTTTTTCTTCTGTTTATTTAATCAAATGTAAATTCACTATCAGAAAAAAATCTATTTTATATTTTTACATTAACAATGTAATCAGTGTTCTACTTATTAAAGCCATGTATGAATCTCATCAAGTTAGTGTTTTTAAGCATTTTACATTTATTCCAAAATAATAACTCAAGGCAGTAACAATTTAACGATAATTTATTTGTGAACTAATGTTCAGCTGTTCTTTTTGATAGTTAACTTTAACTATTTTTGAATTTTTCAGATCAGCTCCGTAAATATTGTTAGCAGACACAGAGATTTACTTTTAAATTTCACCAAGCTGATTACTCACTATAAACTCCCACAGATCATGTTTTCATGCCAATTAAAGTCATGTTTTGACGTAAAAAGTGGATATATCTAAGTGTGAGTTGTTTACTTACTTTTTTTAATTAGTCTTCCCATTAACGCCATTATTGTTCATTCTGACTGATTCGCGAACACGGAACACACACGAACAACACAAGAGGCGGGATTTATCGAATGAACCAATCATAACCAGTAATATCCAATCACATCACAATGAAAGCATTGCCTCCTCTCACGTGACTTTCCCCCATTCATTCTCAATTTCCCCCCACCAAACTGCACACTTTAGAGGGTCTGTTAAAACTCAATGGGCTCTGGGGAGGCAAGAGAGACGCCGACTCCCACTGTAACTTTACCTGCCGGTGTCACTGTTGGACAATATTTCTTTAGAAAAACAATTGTTTTACACACTTCTTAATGTTACATTTTGTAATATCGGTGTTGTTTTATTTTTGCACTGAATTTTTTTCTCATCCAATATTTTGAGGAGACGCTGCCTCCCTTGCAGATATGTATACATATGACTGTACAAAGTTTTCACACCATCGATGTCATACATTTACTTATTTAATTATTACAGAATCTGGATTTTTTTTCTTATTCATTTTACATCTTAACATTTCTTTGTTTTAAACTTTTAATAACCTAATATTTCATTTCAGGTTTAAATTTGATTTCAGAGGGGGCTAATGTGTTCTGCTTGTCTTTGTGCAGGTATTATTACAACAAGAGGATTCTACATAAAACTAAAGGAAAACGCTTCACCTACAAGTTCAATTTCAACAAGTTGGTCATGGTCAACTACCCTTTCATTGACATGGGGTCTGCAGGTACAAAACGAGGACACCCAAATCACATACATTTATTTACGCAATAAAATGCAAAAGCTAAGACCTCCACCTGTGTTTGTCTCTCCACAGGAGCGTCTGTTCCTCAGAGTGCTCCACCAGTGCCTACAGGTCCCCATTTCCGTTTCCCTTCATCCACTCCATCAGACATGCAGGTGCCTGAGGTGCTGCGGTCCCCCAGCAGCGAGGAACTGCGCAGTCCGGGGATGTTCAGCGGCCGCCGTATCACCCGTGGGTCTGTCTCTGACTGCAGCGATGGAACTTCTGTCAACTCTGAGATCGAAGATGGGAACGGAGGTGCGGCCGAGGAGAGAGTGATGGAAAGAGTGGCTGAGAGAGGAGGAGGTGGAGGTGGTTTCCGAGGTGCCATTCACCCTCGTCTGTCTCACGAGACGATGTTCAGGATGTACGGTGGACCGGGAGGTCACAGAGGTCATCGAGTGTCAGAGGTTGGCGGACACAGGGTTCATCCCGAGCCTCTCTCACCGTTCACCATCTCGCCTCTGCCTGGTCCGGGAGGCCCAGGCCTGTTGGCGCCACCTCTCTCGCCGGCGCTCTCCATGACCCCAGGCTCTCACCTGGCCTACACACCCTCCCCTACTCTGTCGCCCATGCCTGGCTCCATCTTCTCCTTCAACCCAGAGGACATGCAGCACTACCTTAAGGCTCACACCCAGAGCGTCTACAATTACCACCTGAGCCCTCGTGCCTTTTTTCATTACCCACACATCATCGTTCCTCAGCCTCAGCGCCCCGACAAAGGCATGCCCAGACCCCAGGGCTGTGATCGCGGCCCTGCCGAGAGGCCCTCGGTGCTCAACAGCCATCACTCCAGCCTCCCGCCGCCTCACGCTCACCCTATTCACCATCACCTGGGGGAGGAGCAGCACCATTCTCCATTCAAGTTTAAGCTCCAGCCTCCCCCGCTGGGCCGAAAACAGCGCGACAGTCAGGGTCGACAGGGCTCGCTGTCCTCCTCATCTACATCCGGTCTGGGCTCCTCATTGTCATTTGGGAGTGATCTCAGTTCAGCCAGCGGATCAGGACTGGTGTCCAACTCCTCCTCAACTGGCTCGTTAAACAGCGCTGGGTTGCCCAAGATTAAGGTAATCAGGAATTAGGTTCTGTACAATCACATGCACCATTAAAAGAGTTTTTTCTTCCTTGTTTTTTGTTTGTTGAACATAAAATGGATGGTATGATTCAAGTTGGACTAAAGGTCCTTGCACACTGAGTTCGAAATTTTTGTATGCATTTTTTCATATCCGTCATCCTTTCCTATCAAAATGCTTGCTACGGATGCGATAACGGAGAAAATCGAACCTGGTCCAGTTTTTTTAATGACAGACAAAAGTTTCGGAGGCAGTATGTAAACTTGATTGACACAACATGAGGTTGTATTTATTTTTTAACATGCGCAAAAATTTGTACGAGAATTTCGGACTCAGTGTGCAAAGACCTTAAGGCCTGGAATGCACCATGCAACTTATAAAAAGTACTAAGCATAATACACTTGCTGACTTTGTAAATGGTTACAAAGAAAAATGGGCCATCATACACCAAACCAGTGGTTCTCAAATCCAGTCCTCACGATCCTCTGCTCTGCATATTTTGCATGTCTCTCTTATTTAAGACACCTGATTCAGATAACCAGCTTGTTAGAAGAGTGCTCTCTGCATGAACTGTGTTCCGATTGACTGGGTCCCTACACAGTGTTCATTGCTCCCTACTCCCTGAGCACTGGAAATCGGCTGAAGTTCACTTTACTTCAGAACATTCATTCACGGATTTGCGCCACGGCCTGCAGTGTCTTCACACACAGATGAAACTTACTGGAGAAGTGTGAAGTGTGACATAATGTACCACTATAAATAAATTAAATTTAAATTCACGTCTCGCACAATTTAATGCCCTTTGAATGGAACATATACGCTCCCTTCGAACTGGAATCTGGAATCAGTATCCTGTTTAGTCCACTTCGTAGGGCACTAAAGGTCGAATAGAACAAACGTCTGTAGTGATAAGAGATACATACAAAATGTGCAGAGTGGTGGGAACTGCACCAAACGACTGAGGATCACAGACTGCAAGTCATTCCAAACTCATAAAGAAACTCTTCTAGCCTAGTTGCTAGAAGACACATGACAAATTAAAAGTTTTCTAAAACTGGCTCAAAATATCAAACATGTTTGATATCCTCTGACTGGATGGAATCAGTCTGAAGTGAAAAAAAATGTATGTATGTAGATGTGACAATGATACACTATGCAATTTTCTGAAATCTATAGCTTTGGCAGCTAGCATTCATTCTCCATACTGCAAATCAGGGCAAAAATGTGGGCAGAAGTCATGAAGTGCATTATTCCCGCATTAAAGTGTTTACTGTGAAACACAAAACTTTTAAAGCGCATGTAAACGAATGCACTGATGGGTGTTCACACTGACTTCAAATGTTCAACTTGTAAAATAGGTTCTAAAAATGAAGCAGTACATCTCTAATATTTCCTGGACAAGTCAGAAAATATCTAAATATTGAAACATTTTGAGGGCTTCCTTGAACAATGGCGAACAATCCATTAATCTATCCAAACTTTTTAGGGAATGATAAAAAAAATTCTGAATCAGACTGGCTTTAAAAAATTGTCATTGTTTTACATGTGTGATGCTTAATTGTAACAGGCTTAAAGTCAAGAGTTCCCACAGTCCTAGAAAACCTAAAAATAGGTCATTTCAAAATTTTAATTTTCCGGCCTAATTACTAACTAATTCTAGTTATGCTCTGTTATAAATTAATTATTTGCCTTGGAAATGAGCATGATATTTAAAAACGATATAAAAACTTTTTTTAAAAGTCCTCTTTCAGTCATCACAAACAACTGGAAAATTCATGGAAATTAGTCCATAACACCCAACTCTGTTTTTACACTACATGCACTCTCTCTCTCTCTATAGGTCGAGCCCATATCTGACATTGAATCAGAAGAGGAAGTCGAAGTGACTGACATCAGTGATGAAGACGCTGATGAAAGAGATGAAGAGTTTGATGTTTTCCCCTCTCACTACCATAAACACCGTGATCATCATCATCACCATAATGATTATCCTCATAGCCAAAAGCACCAACAGCCCAACGGCACAGATGCCGCTCTCCACCCTGATGAGGACTTGGAGGAGGAGGTGTTCAAAGCCCCCGCCCCTCCACCCTTCTTCCTCCCTCCCACCTCTTCCTCAGGCGATAGCCGGCACGGTACCACCATTGTGAAGAGCGAACCCGTGGAGCCGGCGGACATGCAGCTGGCCTCCGGCGGCCTGCCACAAACCAACTCCCAGTGTATCCCACTGAAGCTCCGGTTCAAACGGCGCTGGGACCAGGACCAGCACATGGAAGAGGCGGAGGACAAGAAAGTGAGAGGAGAAGAGAGCGGGAGAGAGAGGAACGGGATGGCGGAGGAGAGTGGCAGCGGAAGCGGGAGCGGAGAGGCAGAGAGCCCACCTCCTCTCGCTCATCACAGAGTTAGCGCCGAGCTCCACCGAGCCACGGCACAGCTGTCACTGGAGAACAAGGAGTGCTGATACGCATCGACACACCTAGACGACTGCTGATACACAACTCTACGACTGCTGATGGACCCACACTCACACGTGACTTTTAAGATCAATGACTGCTGATACTGACATCAGTAATACTGACACATACACTGCACACTTAGACTAACTTACCCTTGCTTAATCGAATCCCGTTCCCCAGGCTACCCTTGTTCCCCCGACAGCACACGTTCCAGTACATCTCATCGTGACCGCTATGAGGAATGAGTTCACCCACGTGCCCCAGCGACCCTCAGGAGTCATGAACTTTGACCTTTGGCACTAGAGTATATTTTATATTTTTAGAAGATAATTTTATTTTGCAAAGTGCCTGTGAGCTGTCCCTCAAAACCCCTCAAAGAGAACTAGAGACGGGCCTCAGAAAGACTGGTCTGGTTCGAGGGACTTGATCTTTTTCTCCAGCAGCCTAGCATTATTTTCCTCAGCGACAGACTGTGATCAGTCTTGATGTGATGTGGTGGGATACAAATGCACAGAAAGTCACAAACAGACGCTGTTCTAAAACCAGCCTGATCAGAAGTCCGAACCCTCAGGGACAAAATCCCTCAACACACACACACAAACAAACAAACACACACTCAGCCATGATCCCGTTCTTATTCCCTGTATGAAACGTGTGTCTGATTCGAGTTTGATTGTGTGTGTGTGTGTGTGTGTTTCGGAAATCTAGCTGTTTAAGTTCTCAGGATATCTTCCTCCTTTCCTTTTCTATCCAAACCAGCTCACCTTAAAACTTTCGCTCTCTTTTTTTTTTATCCCCTCTGGGACCATACCTGAATCACTTTCATTCCGTTGGGGACGAAATGACTCGGGCGTAACATGCGGTTCAGAGACCATACTCCTAAATCTCTTAAACGGCTAGTTCCTTAGTTGGTTAGTCTTTGAAGTGACAGTTTGAAGGTAATACACATTAGGGAGCTTATAACAAGCTTCCCTTGTATAGTCAGTCCTTTAGCGTGAACTAAACCAGCATCCCACACAAACACACACACAAGCTTGTACAGTAATACTAGACCAACTGGGACTCGATTTTTAACTATTTTGGCACTTGATGATGTACCCTTTAGAACCAAGTGCTGATTCTTTGTCCCGATTAACTGTCCTTCAGCCATATAGAACAGCCGCAGACTCTTATGAGGGGGAGGTGAAATAGCAGTTTCAATCCATAATCCCAACATTTAAATACTAACTTGAGTATAGAAAGACAGTAGAAGGCATGTTGCCAGAAGTCTCACTCTCTCACACACACACACACACACACACACACACACTCACACACACACTGCCTCTTATGCCTTGTTTTAATAGCATGTCTGAAAAGGAAATACAAAAATCTTAAAAAAGAACAGTATACACTCAATATACCTTTATATATTATGTGTTACACATACTATAAATGGGAAGCATAGCATTAACAGATGTATCAGTTTCAGGGGGTTTTGTAACAGATTTTGTTTTGAGGGGAAGGTTGACTCTTCTCCTCAGGGATAATGTTGCTATTTGGGTAAGGGAGGAAAATGTTGCTTTTCTTATCACGTTAATAAAAGGTGGGGTAGAGGAGTGAAAAACTAAATTGTACACAAGACTCTAACAAAGCGAGCACGAGAGCTTTGCACCACAGATGATGTGGCACATTCGGTTCTTTAACCAGCAAGCACCTCCTCAACATCCTGTTCCTACTGCTACAACTGATGTGTGTGTGTGTGTGTGTGTGTGTGTGTGTGTTTGACAGAGGCTGCAGGTCTCTGTGCATGTACGTCACACCACACCCAAGGCTATAATTATTTTGAAATCTTGCATCGTGAACCTCATAAACCTGTGTGCACTAAAGCCCTGTGGAAGTTGAGCACAGGACTTGAGACATCAGCGGGGTGGCCAGCCGGACACTAGCCATGATATAACGGTTTTCCAGTGACAGGAAGGAGTTAAATCATGGCTGAGGTGTCTCTTAATACCTAAGATAATGCATAAGACAAAATTGAACTGGCAACGGTGTCACCTCCTCAAAGTTTTGGACTCTTTCTAGCTGCCTTATTCCCACTTTAATCAGATTTGATTATGATCTCCTCATGCTTTCTTATTCGACGAGTCAAGTCTTTAACTAGGGTGCACTTGTTTTACGCCCGGCATACCTCGAAATTTAAAAAATTTGAGATGGAGTGAGCAGTATTGACCAGTGTGGTCTGTAAACTTTAGTTTGGGCACAAAGTGAGTGCATTGTTTCTTTTTAGGAGGCAAGTTATTTGTTTTCTCTTAGGCTGCTCTCGTTGGTTATCCCAGGATGTCACTTTTTCAAGTCGAATGATGTTTTGTTTTGTTTTTCACCCGAACTGCTCATGTTTATCTGCTCTCTGATGTCAATGTTGCTGTTCATCCTAATTATTATTAGTTATTATCATTATTTTGTTGACATTTTCTCCTCGTGTTGTAGTCATGATAACATTGTATACAATACTGTAAGAGATCCTTTTAAGAATGTTTCCCCCAGCCCTGCCTTCCCACGAGCAACCCGACAGTGTGTTTAGTGTAACATTTAAAATTTTGTAAATTAACGTAAAACTGTAACTTTAATATAGGTGGTTATTGTGGAGAGATATAGGATGGAGGAAGGGCATTCGGGGAGGATCGGGCTTATGATTTGAACTCAAGTCATGTCATGTAATTGTTATTTTGTAGTGTTACTGATTTCTTGCTCTTGTACATTTTTTTTCATCGGGGGATTGTATGATTTTAAAATATATATTGTGTATTGTTTTATTGTGTAAAAGTCTCTCTCTCTCTCACTTTCCTTCTCAAAATGTATTTCTGTGGTTCCATGATTCATAATAACAGGTTTTAATACCATGATGTAACACTTTAATTCCTCCTTTATTCGTTTTTGTGTTCTTTTTCAGAATTGTAATTAAAATGTAATCAGGGTCAATTAAACTGGTTAAAAGCCATCTGGTTTCTGCAACTTTTTTTTACAACACAAATGTGTCCATTTTAGTCATGCAAGTAGAATCTCCTTTCCAGAGTTTTGTAGAAGCTCCTACTTGTGTGTATTTTTTGTTAAAATTGCAACAATTAGCATCTTAGGAGGCCCACAGGTCTGTAGAGCTACACTCTGATGCAGTGCAAACATGACAAAAATGACAAGTCAATTAGTAAATAAATGAATAAATAATAAAATTATAATTCCATGCAAATCAATATACGTTAAATGACCATTCACTATTGAGAAGTTCTTTATAAATTCATGTTGTGTATCCAGCCTGTTGATATGATAAATAACATAGACTCTTTAAGACTGGCCTCTGCTGTCTGAAAAGCAGAAGTACAAGCCTTATCAACCATCTAAAATCATCACCATTGACATCCCTCAAATCTTTTTGCTCATACAAATGATATATGTATTACAAACATGAAAGTAAATGTAAATAATATTGCTAAATAAAATTATTATTATTTAATTGTATGGGGAATAAGAATGACATAATCCGTGTTATGAGGGGCCACATATGTATTATTATTTATTATTATATGTGTCACTACTTGTCTACTAAAGACCAGTAAACCTTTTTTCCCCTCAGTGTTCCACTTTATAGCATCTGCTTTCTTATTAAGTGTCTGTGAAGGTGAAAGTAGAAAACATACACAGAGATGTAACTCTTTTAACTTAGTGCAAGAACAGTTTCAAATGGACCATTTTATGTGAATTTTGAACTTGACATTGTCTGATGATCTTAATTCACGTTTACTATAGTAACTTTTTGTATGTACTACTGATTTAACTTAATCAGTAGGTTTCAGGTCTGTCTACTCATTCAAATCAATGCTCTTTATGAGCACTGACTGAATAAACAACTTTCAATAGACCGGTTGTGGGATTCAAATAAAACCTGTGATTATATTTCTGCCTCTGGTTATTCTCATCATCCCCGTGATATTTTGTTTTGTCACATTCTCTGTCTGTCGTCTCCCTTTTACTTCTTTTATCACTTCAGTCGTAGTCTACATTTCAGAGAACTAGAGGAGGGAATGCAGTTCGCTGTGGCACAGTGGGAGTGTAGGGTAGAGGGATAGATGTATGACAGCTGATTGACGGCATAGCAGAGCCAAAAGAAAGGGGTCGACATCATGGAGGGGGTCAGGTCAAAGGGCAGGGCTCTTGGGAGAAGAAGTGCTAATAAGGGGGTATGACACTTGAGTACTACAAAAGTGCCTTATTTTAAATTCTCTATTTTCATCTTCAATTAAAAGTGCGCTAAAGAACTTCACCCTGTTCTCAGTGTTTTGAATAACCCTAAGCCACCACACAGTGGCGCGTGCACGTATGTTTATAGTTTTGTGCTTATCAAGATAAAACCGACAGAGGCCGCTGTACATTGCTTAAACATTTGAGGATGGCGCTTGAGAGTACTTGATTCTGCCTACAACAGCGATTATGTAACGTCGCCTTTGCTTCTCAAAAGAAATTCACTACGAACATTCATTCGATGAATGTAGATGTGCGCTTCAATGCGTCAGTATGTCTGAATATGACTTTCAATGCTTGAACGGGCTACGTTTGAAAAAAAAAAAAAAAACTTGTACATGTATTTAAACAATATTTTGAAAGTATGCTATTTATTTTTCCAGCGTGTTTTAAAACTGTGTCTTATCGCTTTCATCAGTCACTAGTATGTTGTCCTACTACGCATCAAGCATGGGGTTAGGCGAGTACGTCAGGCCACGCCCCTTCCATCCAGCTGGTGGCAACATGCTTGATGACTTCATCGCTGAGTTTGATCATTGGCTCGTCGACGCGGCGCCTCTGGCCAGTCACACAGCGGCACGATGACGTCACCTCCAAAATCCTGCAAGGGTTGTATGGATGGGGCGGGGCACAACGGCACATACGTTAGAGACAGCGGATTGCGGCGCAACGATTGGTTCTCGCACACGAGGTGAGGGGCTGTTGCTGAGAGAAAAGCGAGGCAGAGTGGAAAAAATTGAGAGCGAGAGCGACAATAGTCTATCCCGTATTCACAAGCATAGTAGTGTGAAAGTGAAATGGTTAGTCAGGGACCCGTACAAGGGGGCTTTATTGTGATTAAACGAATCAGTTTAGTGATTTTACCTTTCTTTTCATCCTCAGAGCTTAAATTTGTTTAATATAGCAGACAGTATTAAAACGGAAACGTATGGGGTTTTTGTTAGTTTAGAAACATTCCTTGCCGTTCAGGGGAAGTGAAAAACCAGTGATTTTAGGATTAAGTGTAGCGCTGTCGTTTGTGGTAAACACGCACCTTTATTTAGAGAGCGAAAACTCGTATCGCGTTATTGGCCAGCGCTTCTTGAACACTTCCCTAGTGCCCGCCCACACCCTGTTCCTATGGTTCCCAGCGCTCTCATTGGATACTGTAACTTTCGGAGCGAGCGCCGGCTTGGTATCTAGCTTCATTGCGATTGGCCCAAAGCGCCTGCCAATCAAATGGAATAAACCACTGAGAAACGCCTCTAAATTTGTGCTGTCACATCCATAGGTTACTGTATCAGTCAGTGCGCTCTGATTGGCCAGGAGGGCCAGCTGTTAGTGGTTCATTCACCATTTTGTGACTAGTGGAAAAGGGATTCATATAGTTTTTAATCCCTGTCTGAGTTGCTGTTGGGAGGGGGTAAATATGTTTTACGGAGGACCGATATAAAGTAAAATTCCCGACAGACAGAAGACATGGATGGACGTTGCTCGCCACTTCAGACGACAGGACAGAGCCCATCTGCAATTTGCACCGTAAATTCATCGGTTACCTCCTAAGTATTTCTGCTGTTTTGGTAAGTAGTTATTACTCAAACGAATCCACCGCTAATATTAGTGACAACGCGTATTTTAGACACGAGTGTTGTGTGCAAAAGACAAATGGAGAGCAAATCAGCTCGCTAAAATATCAAGGAAGGACCTAGAGCAAGAAGAAGGCAGGGGGTGGGGATGCAGATTAAACTTTGTCAAATGTTTTAAAGACAGCGTTCAAACCAAGCTTTTGAGTAATTTATTAAGTTCTCCCTTTCATAATTGTTTGGACTGAATGGCATGAGTTTGAGCAACTTGAACAGAGCAGACTGGCACTCATGCACTGCGTTACGCACTGGCAGGATTACGCTCGAGGAAGTACTGCTCTACCTACAGTACTAGCGAGTAAGAACGTCACGGCGCCAATGTAAAAACAAACAAATTAATACTTTACTCCGTAACCGACGCTAATACTCGGACTTACTACACGCGCTGTCATCAGCCCTCTGCTAGGACGGCTCATAAAGGTGGATAATTTGCAACCTTTGCTGCATGTACGTCCTTATTGACATGAGCAACCTTTGCGTAGTGTATTTGCGCGTCAGTGCGAGTGTGTTTGAATACGTTTTAAAGCTTTCTTTTACTCTCTTACAAGGCCTTTCCTTGACTAATTTAGCTGTTGCGAGTCCTTGGCATAGTACTACTCCCGTGACATTGCGAAGCGCTGCGAGTACTACTACCACCGGCGGCTTTCGTGCGCATTCTGACGGTACGTTTTTTATTGTTGTGCATATTATTTCAACGGCTCACCTCATAGTCCAATACATTTCGGAATACGTCCTTATGGAAATATAAAAGAGCCTTTCATCCAAACTGCAGTTTTATAATCAGTTCATATTGTAATTGATATTTTAAAAGTATCTTTCAGTCCTAACGGGCCTCCTTGAAGTGTTGACACAAGTGGGTTTTTCATGTTACACACTCCTGAGATTTTGTCATCTTCAGAGATGCACGTAAATATGATGCACTCTGCTGTTAAAGAGTGTCTCGATAATGATGGCTCAGTTTGCCTGCATTAACACCATCCATCAATTCATTTTTCATCAGGTCATGTGTGCCACTTTGCATGCTTTTAGTAATGGTAGGTGTTTGCCACTGAGCACTTTTGCTCCTTTGGGTCATGTTGGATAAATGAGTGATATTCTTCCATGTCTGACTGATGGTGGTGGAGTGTTGATAGGATGTTGTTTTGGGCAGCCTTTCGTCTACGTCACTCACTACATGTACTGCTTCAGCATCCATACAGCTCGTCTGGTACGTGCTTTAAAGGTAGTGTTTAGCTACTGATTTCAAAGTGTTTGAACTCTTTTGCAGGGAATTTTTGCACGGCTGCTGATTTTTCAAAGAGCGAGGCATGTATCCCTGATGTCCCTTGTTGTGCGCTCGTCTCTTGAGTTTCTCCATGTTTTTGCTGTTTCATGTTGTGACTGTAACACCCCCTTGGTGACCCACTTTAAAATCCAAATAAAGCA